ACACACTGAGGACTACGCTCGCGGCACTTGGGTTTGCTCCTTCTACTGCCGACCCGTCGCTGTTTCTGCGCACCGACACCTCTCTGCCGCCGTTCTACATCCTCGTGTACGTCGACGACTTGGTCTTTGCCACAGCTGACACTGCTGGACTCGCCTACGTGAAGTCCGAGCTGCAGAAGAGACACACGTGCACTGACCTGGGTGAACTGCGCAGCTATCTTGGCTTGCAGATCACCCGGGACAGAGCACGCCGCACCATTACCCTGACTCAGTCTTACATGGTGCAGCAGGTCCTTCAGCGCTTCGGCTTCACGTACTCCTCGCCTCAGGCCACTCCTCTGCCTACTCGCCACTCGCTCTCAGCTCTGCCTTCGGATGAGTCCGTAGAGTCGAGTGGCCCGTTTGCAGAGCTTGTTGGCTGCCTCATGTGCATGATGACCTGCACACGACCTGACCTCGCATACCCTCTTAGCATTCTCGCACGCTTTGTTGCTCCTGGGAGACACCGACCAGAGCACATGGCTGCAGCGAAGAGGGTGTTGCGCTACTTGTGCAGTACGTCGGGCATGGGGCTAGTGCTTGGAGGGCGCAGTCCAGTGGTCCTCACTGGGCACGCAGACGCTTCTTGGGCTGACGACCAGGCTACGCAGCGGTCGTCACAGGGTTACACCTTCAGCCTTGGTTCCGGCTCTGTCTCGTGGCGGGCTACCCGCTCGTCTTCTGTTCTCGGCTCCAGTTGTGAGGCTGAGATCTACGCTGGGGCTATGGCTGCACAGGAGTTACGCTGGCTCACCTACCTGCTGACCGACCTTGGAGAGCAGCCTCGTTCTCCTCCAGTCCTGTACGTAGACAACAAGGCCATGCTGGCCTTGTGTCGAGAGCAGCGACTGGAGCACAGAACGAAGCACATTGCTCTCCGCTACTTTCTTGCTCGTGAGCTACAGCAGCGTGGACAGTTGCGACTTGCATACGTGGCCTCTGAGGCCAACACTGCTGATGTCTTCACCAAGGCACTTGCGCCTTGTGATCATCAGCGTTGTTGCACGCAGTTGGGTCTTGTGCCTGTCTTGCCTCACTTGCTCTCCTCTTGACCTTGCTTGTACCTTCGCCTATATATACTCTTGCTCTTGCTTGCTTGACTCTTGTATATCTCTATATATGATCTTGCATGTGAACTGGCCTTCTGGCCTTTGAACTTGTGCTCGGAATGCGTGGTGACTTTGTGATCCACCCTGAGCTTTGCTTTGCTTTGCTTGACTGGTCTTGTGACCCCTTGTTCTCCCCCACTTTGCCTATGGGGGTGTGTCAGAACATATAGCTTACTTGTTTCTGTAGGCTATAGTGGGGTATCCCATAGGGGGTACAACACAATTAGGGTTTCCTATTTGTATTCACTTCACTTCATAGTCATTCATTCTCGTTCACACTTTCTCAAGGCGGTCGAGGTAGGAGGAGCGCAACAAATGAATCGGACGGCTACGATTCCAACCCACGGACAGGACGATTTCCCGAGACGGGCGCAGAGGAATCAAACCGCACGCTCTGGCAGCGCGTCAACAAATCAAAGACATTTCCCCCGCTACTCCTCTCCAGAGGAATTGGCGAAACGAACAGACCTGTTCGCAGCCGTCGATGATTGGGATTTGGCGCCCCTGTGCGACAGTCGTCAACCATCTCTGTCGCGCCGATTACCGCCCAATTTGGGTCAGCTGTTCTCACTGGTGTTACTCACCCTGCTCCTTCACCTCGCGCAAAATCCGGACTCGGTCGCAGGGTGGCGACTGCTGTTGTTTCTTCCTCGGCTCACACTTCGCCAAATGTCGCCAAGAAGACCGAAGTGGCCCGAAGTCAAAGCCCGTCTTAGAGCTTTCCAGCGTGGCGAATGGGGTAGCTGTATTCTAACGCAATAGAAGCCATCAACACCCCACCGCCTCCACGTCACCAGCCTGACGAGGCGGGAGTACTCAGCAGGGCGGAGGGCCTGGCCAAGCGTGGAAGTCTACGGCGAGCCGTGCTGGCCCTCGAGTCAACCCCAGTCTGCACGCCAGGCCCCGCAATTTTGAATGAACTTCGCGCAAAACACCCCCGAGCCAACAACGAGGAGCTGAGCTGGCCAACAGCACCTGACGCGAACCTCCAGATCAGCCACGCCGATTTATCCAAACTTCTGGGCCGGTGCGAAAATGGGGTGGGGACTGGACCGTCCGGAACCGCTTTCGAACACCTTCGCGACGCATCTGCAATCAACGCATCGGTCCGCACCCACCTGCATGCCTTGATCAACACTATCCTGACAGGCAAATTACCCGAGCCAGTGGCAGACCTGCTGACAGCCTCACGCCTAATCGCGCTGTCCAAGCCAGGTGGGGGGGTTCGGCTAATTGCAATTGGCGAATGCCTGACGCGCCTCGCGGCCAAGGCAGCTCTAACCGCAATTGGAGAAGCTGCACGCGACCACTTCTTGCCACTACAGTACGGGGTGGCGGTACCAGGGGGAGCAGAGGCAAACATCCATGTCGCACGTGCCTTCGTCGACTCGAGGGTCAGCTGCGTGGTGCTACAGACCGACATCGCAAACGCTTTTAACAGCATTTCGCGACAGGCAATCATCAACGGGTTACACGACAACAACCTTTCGTCACTGCTCCCCCTGGTGCGGCTAACGTACGGTAACCCATCGAAGCTGTACCTCGACTCGAACTTCGCCAGCAACCCGCTAAATAGTGAACGCGGCGTGAGGCAGGGGGACCCACTCGGCCCTCTTCTGTTCGCAGCAGGGATTCACCCAGCACTTCGCGAAACGGCCGATGCACACCCCCACGTTCTCTGCTTGGCGTATGCAGACGACGTGACATTTCTGGGGGACGACACAGACACTGTAGCAGCATTCAATTTCTTCACGAGCAAGCTAGCGCATCTGGGGCTTAAACATAACCCACAGAAATGTGCTGCATGGAGCACAAGCGGCGACGAGTCAACGCAACTGCCACCGGGGTCCCATCTTCAAAGGACGGGATACGCCTTCTAGGCAGCTTCCTGGGGCCAGCGGCCGGTGCCGCCAATTCCTTGCGGGGCAGCTGGAAGAAATGGCGAAGCCGCTGCCGCTCTTAGAACGTGCCGACCCCCAAGTAGCTTCCCTGCTCCTGACCCGCTCTATTTCCAGACACGAAGCATACCTCACTAGAACTACACCACTGAACCTCCTACCACGAGACACCTGGGCACAGTGGGGGAGAGACCTCCTAACCGCGCTCCTGACATCCTGCGGGATTAGAGTCCCTACTTGTAGCACGGAGCAGTCGAGAGTGTGGGCGCAGGCCTCGCTTCCATCATCCTTGGGCGGCCTGGGAATCACGGACCCACTCGTAGAAGGGGGTCTACGGCTTCGTAAGCCAGCTTCACACAGGCCGCGCTCTTCTTTTCCTCCCTGACGTTAGCACCAGACACAGCACTAACCCGAGCACACAGCCACATGGTTCTGCCCCGGGACGTCACCACACCGCTTCACTCCTGGCTCACAGAGTGCGAGACTGCCCTGCCCTCAGACGCACGCGACGTAGTCTACCAGGAGCGGCTCTCTCGGTCGGACATCAAGCTCCAGCACACTCTGGCCCTGAAAGTACAGGGGAGTAGGTATGCGGTACAGGTCCAAGAGACGAGACGAATGAGCCTGAATCCACTCTCTGGGCACACACAGAGAATGTTCTCACTCACAGGCTACGGCACAGGAGACTGGCTGACGGCGGTACCGGTAGCTTCCTCACGTCGCATCGGCCCGGTACACTTCAGCAACGCCGTGCGATTCCGGTTGGGCCTCCCTTTCTCTACTCCGAAGAAGTGTGACTGTGCAGAACACATCGCTATCACAGACCCGCGCCTCCCCAACCACCTCTTCCGCTGCGGCACGAGGAAGCACCGGACGAATACTCATAACGAACTCCGCGACGCGTGCATCAGCATGGCACAAGACGCGGGGTTCATAGTACACAGGGAGGCAAACGTCTACTGCCCCATAGAGGAGCAGACGGCTGATTTACCATGACAGACAGAAGCAGTGGGGCGGTCTGGGTGTGTGATATCACGGTCACAGATCCTATTAGCACCAGGGACCCGGAGGCACGGAAAGGCAGGGGATGGGCAGCCGGGAGCAGGCAGATAAAAAGATCAAGCACTATGAAACCGGCCAGAGACAGTAGGTTTCTTTCCCCTCGCAGTGGAGACCTATGGCTGCCCTTGTGCTGAGGTCCTGTGTTCCTGAAACTCCTTGGCAGACACGGCGGCTCGGCGATACTTCAACGCCGACTCCAAATCCTATCATGCCGCGAAGTTCCTGCACCAGTTTAGGCAGAGGTGTCGGTTGCACTGCAGAGGGCCCAATCTATGGGTCCTCATGATCAAGTTAGGGGAGGCGGCTGTTGCAGAGAACCCGCCGGTAGGAGGGAATAGGGCAGGAATTATACCTTGGGGACTGTTTTACTGTCCTGGAGCCTCTTCTTGAGCTCTAGGTGGCAGAGAAGGGTTGATAGTCTAGGCTACCCTGCATATTAGCACCCTGCTGTCTCTCAATGCATGTGTGTACCCTTCTGGCTTATCAATATACGGACCATTAGAGAGAGAGATGGCATAGCTTAGTCCTTAGCCATTTCTAGGCCCCTCTTCTCTAGGATCTAGTCCTTAGCCATTTCTAGGCCTGTTCCTTAGTATAAGGCTCTGGATCTAGGCTAGTGAGCTCATTATTCACTGGTGAGTTAGGATCACTCTCCAAATCCGGCGGCTCGCGCCAGCCGCCTTCGGCGGCCGCCGCTCGCCAGCGTGGCCTTCGGCCGCGCGTGAGGGGTGGCAAGGGTAGTAGCAGCACAAGTCCTATAGCAGCATGTGGTTCCATCAAGAGCCACTAGCAGGGCAGAACAACAACACCACCCCCAGGCGAGGGAATTCCGCCATGGGGAAGCCCAAGGCAAGGCCCAGCACCACCGGAGCCTCCAGGGAAAAAACAACAGTCACTCGGCGAGGATCCAGCACAACCTCCCGTCCATCCAACGAAGGACGGAAGCGGCAGCAGACACAAGGCCGAGGGGGCCCTCCTGGGCAGACTCAGCTAGCCTCACCATTGCCTGGGGTCCGGGCCCAAGCCTCGGCACAAGGCCGATCAAGGGAAGATAGTGCAGCATCTCCGTCGCTGCAGCCACCGCCGCAGAGCGCTCACCGGGGCAACATCCGTCAACCTCCAAGCCTTGTCGTGCCAAACACACGTGGAGCTGGTCCAGTACGTACGACAGCAGCGTCAAACACGTCCCCACGTGCACAACGCGCTGCTCGACGAGGGGAGGCAGCGCGCCTGCAGGAGCGGCAGCAAGAGGAGCAGGCGGGACAGGAGGGTTTGGCGGCGCAGGAGGAGCCGGCAGCTGACGCAGTTGAGGCGAGGCAGAGGAAAACTGATTTACGGGGGGATGTCGCTGCTGCGGGGTCAGGTTTGACGCGGAGGGGGGGAGCAGGGTGCTGCGGCAGAGGCGGATCCGACGGGGACGGGGCGGGAGGCGCACTCGCCTGCTGCCTGTGCCTGCAGCCGCCTCTGACGACGACTCAACCGCGCCCGCTGTGGGGCCGACGGCGCCCCACCAGCGTACGAGGTTGTGCTGCGGAGGAGGCGCATGTGGAGCATGGGTCGGCTGATTCACCGGCGCCATTGGTGGCGGTGTCCCCTCACCTCTCGGGGAGGTGGAGATTGCGGCGGTTGTAGCTGAGGCAGAAGGGCAACAGAACAAACCCCGAAAGAACCGTTTGCGCGACTGCCGCTGAGTCCGCCGGAATGTCTGCTGCTGCCACGGCCGTAAACATGCGGGAGCGCGGCCAGGCGGTGGATGGAATTGAGGTCCCGTGATCGGCGCGCGCTTTTGGCGCCGCACCAGCAAGGAGAAGGTGAATCTGCGCGCCCAGCAGCCCGAGGCGGCCGGAGCAGGGCTAGGACCTGGGTCCCGGGACCCCTCCTGGGCTGGCTTCGGCAAGGCAGTTGCCACCAGAGCAAGCGCGTTTGTTGTCATCCGCACCACAGCCTGCAATGGGAACGCGGCGAGGGGAACACGGAGGCAGCTGGCCGTGCACATCGGGGACCGAGCAGCCAAGCAGGATGCAGCAACCAACGAGGATTGTCAGAATGTTATTATCTAGCCTGTAGTGGGGTGCCTCTATAGCGAGT